ATATATTTTTAAAACAGCTAGGTTAAGCCGCTTTTCAAAACAGGTAACTAAAATAAAATTCAAAATTTATCTTTTCTCGTTTTTTTCAAAGGTATTCGAGAGACTTTTTTCCTTACTGGAATAATGGACCATTATGTACACACCTTTCCGATTCTTTGCCAATTGCATGTGGAGTCCCGCAGGGTTCGATTTTAGGCTCTATTCTCTTCCTACTATACGTAAACGATTCGCCTTCGACGATTAGAAACGGAAGAACAGTTCTCTTTGCGGCCGTAAACAGTACAATATCAGTTATTTCAAATTGGTTCCGTAATAAATTAAAAGTAAATAAAAAATAAACTGTTTCAATGCAGTTCTCCATTTCAAATAAACAGCTCTGTACTCCATTGAAAATGAACGGTGTGCCATTGACTGATGTTAAGGTAACAAAATTTTTTGGTCTTTCAATCCAGACAAACTTTAAATGGAACGTCTATTTAAAGGAATTGAACAGTCAATTAAGTTTCTTAAGCTGTGCTTTAAAAATTCTTTCAAATCCAATCAGCCTACTGCTCGTAGTATATGTTTCGCGAATGTTCATTCCCACCTGAGGTATGGCATAATATTCTGGGAAAATACATCTTATAGCTCCCAGACTTTTAGATCACGAAAACGAATGGTACGAATAATGAGCAAATACCATCCGCGTGATTCTTGGGGCCTCTCTTCATTAACCTAGGTATTTTCCTTGTCTCTTAATATATGAATCAGTGGTTTTTGTCAAAAATGACTTACATAAGGGCGGGAATATATTTTCAGCAAACACCGTTGTCTATAACTACAACACACGTCGTAGTAATCATATTCATCGGTTAACAATATCAACAGCTCACTACAAAAAATTCACATATAATACATGTACATTATTTTACAACACCTTGCCAGATGACATTACATGATTAAATTCGATACAAAAGTTTAAGTCCCAAGTAAAATATTTTCTGCTGCACAACTGTTTCTAGACAATTAGGGACTATACCGAGCATCCGAAAAGAAAGTAATACTAATTTTAACTATGACATTTAATTTATTATATATCATTTGGATTGTATAATTCTAAAGAACCTGTAACCAGTATTGTACTTCAGCTTCTAGGTCAAGACCCCCATCTCGATCAGGAATTTGTCCAGTTTCCCTGATCCTCGAGCAAATGCTGAGATGGCCCCATGTTTTGCTTCTGGACATAAATGTATCTTCAAATTAACTTCTCACCATAGCACGTCACACAGTTTTTAACTGTTTTTTGACGTAAACACTCGTCGTAGTAATCATATTTATCGGGTATTAACAGTTCACTACAAAAAAAAAATCACATATAATACATGCACATTATTTTACAACACCTTGCCAGATGACATTAAACGATCACATTCGATTCAAAAGTCCCATGTAAAATATTTTCTGCTGCACAACTGTTTCTATTCAATTAGAGACTATCCCGAGCATCCGAAAAGAAAGTAATACTAAGTTTAACTATGACATTTAATTTATTATATATCATTTGGATTCTATAATTCTAAAGAACCTGTAACAAGTATTGTACTTGAGCTTCTGGATCAACGACCCCCATCTCGATCAGGATTTCGTCCAGTTTCCCTGATCCTTGAGCAAATGCTGAGATGGCCCCCTGCTTTGCTTCTAGACACAAATGTAAATTCAATTTAACTTCTCCCCATTGTTCGTCACACAGTTTTTAATTATTTTTTATGTAAATAAATAAAGTTCTCCACATACTTTCCGTCATGTGTGTCAGTCTGGTGCACGTAAGTGTAAGAGAGTGTAAGTAAAGGGTAGGATAGGTCAAGAAATGGGAAGAAAATATGGCTCGCGGCCCGTGGTCCGTTTTACTGCTCCGGTATTCACCTGTGTTGACCTGAGAAAGCATGGAAAACTACCGATCAAAGCAGCCGAAATCTATAATTCTTTTCCACACAGCGACAGAACTCGACCTAACTATCTGGCTAGCGTCGAGAACAGTCATCGTCAGGGCTCGAACCTAGGACTTCCCAGTCAGTAGCCCATCAGACATCAGTTGATGCCCTGAGCGGTCCCAGTCAGCAGTTACGGGTATCGAAGTCGGTCCCATGGGTAGTGTATAAATATTATATTTGAATTTCATGTCGTTGGATTGATTAACTTACTTAAATCGATTCGTACAGATGCCATGAACGACAACTATTGATTTGAGGTGACATACGTTTTAGAGAAAATTGAGAAAATATTTTTCGGAATTGCATAAATTTCACACACTAATAAAGCGAAATAACCCCTTAAAATAAGCACATGACCTTTTTACAGAGTTTATTTTTACAACAGACTGTTTAAAGCAAAAATCACTAACTCCAATTTTGTAGTATTGAAATGTTCAGTTTTTTTGTGATTTCGAAAAACGGAGCAATAGCCGAAAATGGAACTAGCCCAATATTTTTACCCTCCCTTATTACATGTGAGGAAAAAATTTAGAGAAAAGATATGGAAGGTTTTTTTTGAGAAAAAATACCTATATTTCGCACAAAATTACATGGAAACTACTCATCATATTTTCTAAAAATTAAACATGAACTTATTTAAAGATCTGTCTTTAAGAAACAGATTTCATAAAAGAAAAAATCTCTATTTTTAATATTATCGTTGTAAGAAGAAACTCCCAAAAGAATACTCTTTCTCAATGGTAAAAAAAATGTAATTTCACACAATTTCGTGCCGTTTTTAAGAAACTTTTGAAAATATTTTTGAAGGTTTATGTGAAGTACCCTCAAAAATCAAAATATCCCTTTGAAACTCCCAAAGCAACGATTTCATTTAGACCGATCAGGGAATTTCAATTTTGAAGAAAAGTGGTTGAACGGTTTAGGCGCTAGCGTTGACCATAGACAGATAGACGGAGGAAAGATTAAACGTTTGCGAACATCGCTAGCGGCTAAACCGATTTTCTCCAAAATTTATATTTCTCAATTGCTCTGCCTAATGTCGTGGCCTCTTGAATTTGAAACTGATATTTTAATTTTGGGGGTACTTTACATGAAGCCCCCGAGACATTTCGCAAATTTTCAAAAAAATGGCTTCATCGTTTTTTATTATTTTTGTTGGATAAAGTTAAGGACGTTTAAGAGAATGGTGAAAGTGTCATGTTCGTTGAAAACCCTGAAATTTGAAAATTGCAAAGGTCCAATTTTTTTATGGAGTCTTCGTACAAATAAAATATTAAAGATAGAGTTTTTTCTCTTAATGAAATCTGTTCCTTAAAGATGAATTTCGAAATACGGTTATGTACAATTTTTCGATAATTTGCGTACTTTTCGCGTAATTTCGCGTGAATTATAGGTAATTTTTAATTTTGTTAAAAAAAAGTTTTTCTCAAAAACGGCATCAATTTTTTTAATGAAATTTTGACCTCGCGTAGCTTACATGACGTTTAAGAAAATAGTGCAGGTATCATGTTCGTTGAAAGTCCTGATTTTTGAAAATTTAAGTTACCAATATTATAAATCTAAGCAACAAACTTACCAAGTCATGTTATGTCATATACATCCTGAAGTTAAATTCTAACTTAGATACACTGCGAATGGTGTACTTTGCAAATGTTTACTCGCACTTAAAATACGGTATAATATTCTGGGAAAATCCCCGAGAAAGTATTCACACTTTCATCATCCGAAAACGAATATTGAGAACTATGACAAACATGTATGAAACCTGCACGCCACTGTTCAAAAAATTACAAATACTACCACTCCCATGCATGTACATATTTGAAATATTAATCTTGATAAAGAAAACACTTATGGGAAACAAGGATTCTGTTACTCTGAACACAGACGTTCATAACTATGATACTAGACTAAAACGAAATCTTTTGTCCCCTATTTTTTGAAGATATTGAAACTCCACTAAGTCAGTCTAATTGTGTTCACTTCTACTTCTGCAATTGCTCGTTTCGTAGGCGAATATATGTAAACATTAAAAGGCGACTATTTTGTATGTTTATTACAAGGAATTAGTTACGTTTTAATAAGAATACGTTGTTACATTCATTTGAAAATCGGTATTTGCGCGCTGTGTACATATGAGAAGTCGAACGTTAATGTGCTTCTGTAGTATTACTCTCAGTTGGGTTTTCTTCCTATTTACCTGAGGTTTAAATTCAATAAGTTCCAAAGCAATAACTATTCGTAGGTTTTTGCAAATGTATTTTTAAAAATACGTTAATACGAATGCAAATTAAATGAAATCTGCCGCGCGGTGAGAAGAATGATCTCAACGTACTAAAAGAAATTCGACACATATGGCGTATTTTAACCATTAGCTTGCAGTTTCCAACATGTTATACTTGCCACCTTATTACTGATGCATCGTAAAATAGTTTCTATCAACGAAAATGTCAAAGTATTGCATAGTATTGTTGTAAAGAACGCCAACAAAATGAAAACGGGAAACAATTCCACAGGCAAGCAAATATTGTGCCATAAACTTAATATATTTATTGAGTCACATACACACTTGATGAGAATACCGAACTACATATTATTTAGTAACCATTACTTTAATAATATTTTTAGATTTATTTTTTCACTATTATTTGCCATAAGTTGAACTAAAGAAATTATCAAAAACATGCAACCCAAGAACAGTCCCCTGCTTTAATGTTACAAAAAGTAAACAAAAAATAATGATAGCAATTTTTTTAAGTATTAAATATTCGTTCCTTACCAACTTTTTATTAAGTTTTCGTGATCATAAAAGAGAATAAATATTTTGAATTTTAATAATTCTAATTCGATTTCTGATCGTTTCTGAGATGACAAGGACACGTTCACCATCATGGCGGACCGTCACGATTTCTCAGCACACTGTTGTCTCCAGTCTACACTAGAGCTCACTGGCTGCGGCTCTCTGTGTGCACTCTGCCGGCGAATGCCGAACCATTTCAATGGTTCAACCAACCTCCGGCCAATGGGAGACCAGATTGGAACAACGCGCCGTATTCAAACATAGGAAATGAACAATTTTCACGTAAAGGTAAGATTATTAATTCAACATTTAGAACTCATTCACGAATATTTTATGTGTGTATGCTCAGTCATTATCTTCCCCTCACACTACGCCCCTGATTTAATGATGTAAAAGTTTTGGTTAGGTACTCAAAAGCTGGCAATACTGACAATGGAAACAAATGAATTTCAACCATCTAATTGTTGTGGCGGTAGAGTACATTACAGCGTGGCTTATTACAAACGACGGTAAGTATTTGTTGTTGCTTAAAATTGATTGATTAAAATGCTCTTACTTTAAATTAATTCTTTGTGTTAGTTATTTTGGATCAAATGACCATACTTTTGTGATAATTGAATTAATTCAATAAGTCGGCAGATGCGGATATTAATGACATTGATTTAATTTCGCGGAAACTGGTGATGCATAATGACCATATACCCGAAAATCCACATCACAAAACAAGCTCTCACAGGAACATGAGTTCAATAAGAGAAATCCTAAATATGTAGTTGTGGTTTGAGTATTTTGTAATTCATATTATTATAAACATAATATCTGCTAATGCCTACATAATCAATGTAATAATCATTTATTAAAACATATATTAACCTATTGGTGCTGTTATTAGGCTTAAAAATTTTGCACACCTTCAATTTTTTTTTACCACACCCGTTGAAAATAACAGCATAAAACACTGGGCACGAAGAGTGAATGGATACATGTAAACGATGCAATTGTTAATATAATATTATAAATATATATATATAATCAGCAAATATATTTCTTCTAAATCCAATATGGAGTATTTATACCTTTTTTCCTAATAGTACTATATTTGCTATTTTTAACTCACAGTATCAAAATGCTTTGCACTTCCATGAAGATCTCTCCGGAGTTATAGCCATTGTAGTAAAGATGTGCTGTTACTATATTGGAACAAAGACAATTTTTTCAAGGTTTTTTTATTTTTTTTTATAGCAGTGACAAGTAGAACCATTCTTTGAATGTTACTTTAATAATTAATGATGCTATTTTTATTTGAGTGTGTAATTTCTTATGATGCCTAGCTTAGAGAGAACTTGTTTTTTGAACATTAATATTCTTCATTATTTAATACATCCAATAATTACCACAAATGCTTGAATTTGCATTTAGTTAGTTTAAATTCTGGAAGGTTTTACAATCTTCCAAAATATCCCAGTGATAACACAACAGTAATAATCACCACATAAATATTCTTTTACAGCAGTAGAGATAATAGAGTCAGTAGGTCAATCTAAAAATCAATATGGATCAAACTACTACAAAATATTCTGGAACTCAAGATGAGGACTTCATAGTGACAGAGAACACTGAAAACACACAACTTTCGCCCAGTGATGAAGAAGTTGTGCCTAGAGAGGAGCACTTCTCAGATGACGAATTTCAGGAAGAAGCGATTTCTGAAGAAAGAACTTACAGAAATATTTTGAGTATAACACCAGATGCCTCTCCTGACTATTCACCAGTACAAAGAGCAACCAACACCACTCAAAGGCCCTGTGGTAAGTTTGATAATTTGTCTGGGAAAAAATCCTTATGGTAGTTGTGCTGGGTCTCATCAAATTGCAGTAATTCATCAAGATCTCATATGTGTGTTCCAGGTTTAAGAAGGTCACAGTCAGCACCTAATTTAAGTACTCCTGAGGCTGTATAAATTTTGAAAGTAAGTATCATAACCAACATGCTGGCATTAAATTGCCTTAACAAACCAAAAAAATATAATTATTTTATAATTGATCTTAAATATACTTATCTCACAATTTATATTCTGCCTCAAATCTTTGCACAATAAACGTGTCAGGAACTTGGGTTTGTGCCCATCTTCAGGTTTTTAATTTTCTAAAATAAAATATAAATTAACTAATACCCATGTTAACTATTGGCATTTCTTGTAAGTGTCATATGAAATTAGGCTCTATAGCCTGTTTCTATGGGTTTATTTCAGTATTCTTGGTAGATTCTTAGTCTTCCAAGTGTTCCTGCTGTTGCCACCTCATTACATGTCTCCCTCTATCTCTGATCCCTATCGGTTTGTACTTCCAGATTAATTTTGGAAATCTGTTTTTCATTCACTGTCAATGATCTTTCCATCTCCTTTGCGACTCAACTATCTCTTCTACTAAACATTTGGTTTTTAATTTCTTTCTGATGTCTTTATTTCTTAGTCTATCACTTCTTATGATTCCCATGAGGTGTCATACAAATCTCATGTGTGCCATCTGTAGTTTTTGTTTGTCTCCCTTTCATTATCCATGTTTCAGAGCCATACATGATTTCTAGGTTTACAGCTATATTGTGGAGTTTCAGTTTTGTTTCTGGGTCCATGTGTCTGCCAAAGTGTCTCTTAATTGTTCCAAATATTCTATTGTAGGCATGAAGTTTGGTATTTTGTTTTCCTGAGTTTGGTAGAGTACACTTATATTTCAAAGGTATGAAAACGTATTTATTCATTTCTTTCTTCACAACTTTCCTTTTATTACTATTTTGGCTCTTTGTTCCTTGCCTTGTATTGCCATAACTTTTTGTTGTCTGAATTACTATCTTCATGGAATATCCTTGGGCAACTTTTGTCAATTCAAACACTGCTCTTTGTAAATTCAGAATCCATTACGATAGTTTGGTCATCAGTATACAAGATTGTTTTTATCTTTTTGACTTTTGGGATCTGTATTCCTTGTCTTTCTTTCTCCAGTGTCTCACTACGTGGTTAATATATATGTTGAAGAGGATGCGTGATATTCCACATCCTTGCCTTAAGCAACTGTTGGTTGTTATTGCTGTTGACTTTTTTCCCCTCTCTTAACAGTATTTTAATTCTTGAGTTCTTGTAGAGACTTAGTATTGCATTGAGTAACTAATTTGGAATATTCTCTTCTTTTAGTATTTCCCCAGAGTTTCTGTCTATTAACTTTGTCGTAAGCCTTTTCGTAGTCAATAAATATTATAAAAGTTGGTAGATTCCCTTCCTTTTTTTTATCTATTAACATCTGTAATGTACAGATCAGGTACAGATAGTGCCTTTAGTGCATCTACACTTTCGGAATCCACACTGCTCTTCTCTCATGAATTTCTCACATATTGAGTCTGTTCCTTAGCATGTGTGCATACAGCTTAGAAGCTGTTGATAGTACTGTAATGCCCCTATAATTGTCACATCTTTGAGCCTTTCTTGTGAATGTTAATAAACAAACCTTGCCACACACTTTGTTAAGAAGTGCTAATTAAATTTCTTTCAGCTCATTTCCTCCATATCTTATGAGTTCTATGTTGACCTCATCTGTCCAAGGCTTTTACAATTTTTTACTTTTCTTAATACTGCCTTGAGTTCTATATTCAGTGAGATTTCTTGTTCATCGTTGTCAAAGACTTCACTTGTTCCTTCCAGCACTTCATTGGATCTGAGAGTTGGATTGTTCCACAGGGTGAAGTAGTGTTTTATCAAATTTTCTTGTGGTATACCAACCAATCTGATTTTATCTTTCACATTAATCTGCAGCAGGTTCAAAACTTTGAAACCCATTCATTGGGGGCCTGATACGCCTCTTTCTATGCTTCTAACAAATTTCTCCTCCTCTCTCCTGTGTATTCGGCTGACACATCTCACTTTGACCTGTGATCTTATATATTCCGTGTAGTTTTCCATTGTTTGTTTTTGGAGGTAGATTCTGAATGCTTTCTTCTTTTGATAGATCATCTCTTTTAGATCATTGTCCCACATTCTCAACCATTTCATTTTCTTGAAAAGTTTATAGCCTACTCCCTGCTTCAATCATAGTTAAGTGAACTCTGAAGTGTCTCAATATTTTGTTTCTCTACCTTCCATAGTTTTTCTCTAAGTCTTGGTTGTTAAATTTTGAATGGTATAATCAATTTTTTACATAAAATAGTAATTTTACCATTCAATCACCCTTTTTTATTGAAAAATAAAAAAATAAAAATATAATTTCATCAGATAAAAAAATTTGGACTCTCAAATTGAAAATTTTCCATATAATTCATAGTTGTGATTTGAATGCTATTTTGTAAAACATCTTTTCTATTATAATGGTCTTCATAACAACAGATTTCTGCTCATTTTACTAAATGCCTGAGTAACATGTTAAAACTCATCCTATTTTTAGTTAAACAAGTTCTTTTAAATCAATAACCATACGTCAATATAAAAAGCATCTTAAGGTGAGTATGTTTCCTAATTTCTTGTAATGAATTATACATAAAAATTGATGGTACATGAAAAATATTTAAAAAATTGTTTTGTGCCAAAATTTATAATTCAAAAAATATCTTATAATTAACACCACTAAGTTTCATAAGTTATTTATAAATAATTTCAACAATTAACAAGACAGTAAAGTAAATATATATATATATATATATATATAATATATCATAAAATAAATATATATATATATATATATTATATATATATATATATAATATATATATTTATACAATTTAATTATAGAGCACACTATAGTGTTGTAATTACATCAATTACATGCAATTTGCACAATGTCACACTTGAATTGAATTGAATTTTGCCTTATTTTACGTGCAGAGCTCGGGCCATCAAGGCCGCTCTTCGTCTTGACCAACGCAACATTTCGCTATGCTCCACGCAACTAGGAGAGAAAGGAGGAATTTCTTGGGCGAGAAACAGGCGATTTGAATTTGCTCAGAGGCGTCATTTAGGCTGAGGACTTTACAATGCAAGTAAATCTATGAACATGGGACGCCGGCTTTCTTCCCCTCCGAAGGAAGGCGTACAACAGGATTTTTTCGCCTTAAAAAATCCAGGCTTCGATCGGGTTTTGAACCCGCCAACTTGGGTACAACAGTCCTGTACGCTAACCGTTACACCATCGCCGCCGCAACATTCAATTGTTAATAAAAAAATCTAACACGATTACTTTGAAATTTTGAAGACAGTGGTGAAAATAGAGATTTCAGTTCCCAGAGCCAAATAATCTTCATGCACCTACACATGCATGTTGACATCACCACAGTTTGCGACGCAAAATGTACGCCAGAATGCGAGTCGTCAGCTCACTCGCGCCATGAGTTGCCTCTCGCCGTATTCGATTACACTCCAGGGCCCACTCGCCCGACGAAACACTGTCTCCATGCGGTGCTGTGTGGTGAGGATGGCAGTGGTTCCCTCCGGCCAAGTCTAACCACACTGCTTCTACCATGATCCGGCGACTCATACTCGTCAGAATCGCACTTGGCTGCGTGATTCCCATTTCAGTGCCTGCAGCCCCCTTAAATAGGGGCTTATTTTTTTAAAATCAAACTTCTAGTATCAATGCATTCTTTTAGTTTGCCTAGTTTTATTCTGACACTAAAATAATAAGTTTCCTTTCCTCTTGAATCAGGACTATTCTTCAGGTTCGCCCAACCCTCATCTTCCTGACAGCCAAACATCAGAACCTGAAGGAAGTACCAGAGCCTCCTGTGGAAACTACTGCTTCCCTGAAGACACCTACAGAAGACTCTCAGGTTTCCCGAAATCATTCTCATGGAGCCCATAGGTCTATTTTGATCTTGGACAATTTCAGTTATGCCAGAGTTAGCCCATTCTCTACATCTCAGCCTCGTTCCATGAGAAGCCATTTCCTTGATCATCACACAATTACCAGTAATGACAAGGGATTATGGAAGGATTAAGGTAAAGTGGTGACATGAGGTACTGCAAATGTACCCCAAACCACAAATACAAATGAAAACATCCATGACTTACAAGGGATTCAAACCCTTAGACTTAAGTGTGTTGGGTGCACCTGCCCCAACCCCCTGAATAACCAGGCCAATTGCTGGGTATGTTTACTATGTCACGATATTCATTAATGACTTTAGTGAAGATATCTGCTGATAACTGTGTGTCAGTCTCATTTTTTGATGATTACATCTGTATACATGAAATTATGAAAGATCAATACAAGTCTCTGTACATTCTGTGACATGGATGGCAGTCAAAAACAACTTGAAAGATCAAAATCAACAGAGTTTATTCATACATGTGTATGTTTAAATTAGCCACACTTTCAACATTTTAGCATAATTTGTTCCTATCACACTTGACAATGTAATATAACAAGTGAATAGTAAGTAAATGCATGAATTTGAGTCTTGAACGTGTAAAAAGTTTTAAATAAACTAAGTTTATAAATGTATCTATACATTTCCATGGTTCCTCTCCACACTACGTGGTTTATCTGCATAAAAATAAAATCTGAGGAGAGCAAATCTTCACAATTTCCACAGATAGAACACTCTCCACTCAGTAGGGGTAGTGATCTAGATTTAGATTTTCTCAACAAAATAATAATGGACTATGCTGAAGGAGGAACTTGGGGGAAATTATTATGCTATATGCAAATGAAAACCACACAATCAGTGTACTTTTACATGATAGAACCTCTTTTGGAATTCACTGAACGACTGGAAACAGCATGTGGCTATGAGTAGTATGACAAAACAACAAAAACGTTTGCCACTTTTAATAATACAAGATGTTTAACGGCTGGAAATAAAGGAAAGAAACCACAATTCTGCCAACAACATATAACAACAAAAACACACTTATCTAAACTTTAATTAAATTAAAGTGCATTCAACACACTTTCAAGTTTTCAATGGCTTCTTTCCCTTCCCAATGAAAAGTATTGTAGAAAATTAAACGCACAAACTTGTAGAGTATAGGTCTTAAATATATCTACCTTAAGTATTCCTAATCACTTGTGCAGTTTAGAACTCAAGAACCACGATCAATTACTCATATTTCCTTTAAGTAAAATATAAAATAACTAGCTCTGATAAAAGAAAAACACAAGAGGGAAATAAAATGGACTACAATTTGAATTATTTTAAGGCTATAGTGAGATGCTCATTTCCCACCACAGAAGTTTAATCCAAGTTTCTTCATGAACATTCCAACAATCTGCATGATGGAATTCTGAAAAAGTAAATAAATGAATTAATTAAATTTTAAACTTAAAGACTTATGTTTAATAAAGCTAATATAGAAACTAAAAATAATTTATATGTATGTAATATATAAAAAAAGTTAATATCAGGTAGCTTAAAACATTCAGCTTGATTTCCACTGATGGTTCCTCAGAAAATTAGAGAAGTAAAAATACAACTGGCTACTTTAATAGCACTTGGTTACTTTAATAAATAGCTTGTACTATAAATGCCTTTACAGATGAACAGCAATAAATCAAAATGCTGCAATATTTTAACTCTTTTGTTTTCATCTTCTCTACACAAACCAGAGTTAATTTGCCAGGAAAAGTCCTACATTGGGAAAAAATTATTCCAACAATTTAAATTATTTCATTTTTATGAATATTTCGTTGTTTCTTTTTACTGGAGATTCACATACAGACAGGACAACAGATGCTTTTTCCTGACAGCAGTGTTGTTCACATAAAAAATCCAAATTCGTTTGTCATGTCCTCAAGACAATTTGTTTACAAGGGTTTGCACCATCATCTCTCATTTCCAAACTCTAATGTTGAGGAATATTTTCACACTACTTTTCTCGTACTCCTTGCTTTCCAAGTTAATAAAATAGCTAATATAACAATATATCTAGTGTGCTCCACTCAAGGTAGTAGATAAAACAAAAAAACAACAATCCCTTAATTTACTTAACATTTGGCACATTCTGAAATTGCCTGGGGGTAATTTCATTTCATTAATTTCACAATTAAATACCACATGTACATTGAAAATTTCTATATATTTCAATGCTGCAAACATTGATGGCGAAATGACAGGAATACACATTTTGGGAATC